GGTTGCAAGAGCAAGGTTTATGAAGTGAATGAACGAAGGCATGAATGAATGAACAGGTGTCTGGATGGGGAAGGTGCTATAGCCCCTGCTGCTGCAGGTGCTCAGAGAGGAATGCTGGGGGGGGGGGGAAGGGCCCTCCATCTGCATAGGAAGTGGGTGGCTGAGTGCAGGCCTGTGTGTGTGTGTGTGTGTGTTTGTGTGTGTGCGTGTGTGTGTGTGTGTGTGTGTGTGTGTGTGTGTGTAGACATGTGCAAGCATGAGGACACATACATGTGCATCTAGGATGCCAGCTTCTCAGAACCATGTGTGTGGCCATGCCCAGGCTGCCATCTGGGAGCATGTTCTGCTGCCTCCTATCTCTGTGGCAGGACCCAGGTGCCTCTCTTCATGCCAGCCTCTCTTGGCACCACCTGAATGACCACATCCAGAATGTCTATACAGGGAGCTTGAGGGCATTCTTGACCAGGAAAGGAGTCCTAGGGGGCTTGCTTTCAGTCTTCATTTGCATTCCAAGTGTGATATTTTCTCTTAGAGAGAATATTTATTTGGAGTTCTGAGAAACCTATGCTAATACTAGGGGGACTAAAGTCACACTCCTTAGCTCACAGGGAGTTAGGACAATCTCCTGTGACCCTTCACCCTTCTCAACCTGTCCTCGTTCCTCCTGACCTTCCCATGGCCCTGAAGAGACTAGCACTGGTGGAAAGATGGTGTCCTTCTGCCTTACTTCCTTAACTGGAGAAAAGGAAGCAGCATCCTACAGATGAGTGGGGCCAGGGGGAAGAATGGAGGAGGAAGCAGGGATGAGAACAATGAAGGAATAGTGATGGAAGGAGGGATGAGGAAGAAAGGGGAGGAGGTGAGAGAGGGGAGGGAGTGGAGGGAGGCTGAGAGCATTATCAGCACTTAAAAAGCGAGCAGCTCAGTTCTTCTTTGGCACAAATAATGGCTTTTTATGAATAAATCATGTGTCAGACGCCTCCCAGGGAGTGAGCATGGAGGGGGGCGCGTCTGCTGGGCTCCAAGGCTGTTGGGGAGGGCCAGTGACAGACCCCCAGCTGTAGGGGTGTTGCTCTCTCCTGATGGGGCCCAGAAGGACAGAAGCTGTCTCTGAACTGTCTCTTGAGCTAGTCCAAGCTGGGCAGAGCTTGGTTATCACTCTGAGGTGGTCTCCTGGCTCCCTGCTCATGATTTGGGCTGGATCCTAGGGCTGGAGTGTCCCTCTGCCCCTCTGCTCCCACAGACAGCAAAGCAATCCAGAAGATGTTTCTGGCAGGGAACACCAGCCTGGTGCTCCCGAGAGAGAAGGATGTGCCAAGTCAGGCAGGCACACCCAGAGAGCAAATGCATGCATGCGGCACACATGTGGAGACTGGGAGAGCAATTCACACAGACATGGCCTCCACACATGTGGGCGAACTCAGAGATGGATACACTGTAATTCACACACTTGAATAGAGATATACACACTCAGCAATATACACTCAGTAGAGACCTCCACCCCCAACTTGTTCACTAACACTTATACACACATGTGCATATGAGCACACACACACACACACACACACACACACACACACACACAGAGAGAGAGAGAGAGAGAGAGAGAGAGAGAGAGAGAGAGGCCCACACAGACAGTTGCATATGGAGCTACATGGACACACACAGACCTGCACATGCACACCAGCAGCCCACCCTCCAGCAGCCTAGGGTGAGGGCAGCTTTGCAGCCCATCTGGAATCCAGACTCAGTTGAGCTGTCTGAGTCTTATTGTTGGGTGGAGCTGGGGCATTGTCCCAGTAGAGGCCTTCCACGTGCTCCCCAGTGGGCAAAGACACCACAGTACAACAGTGAGATCTCAGCTCCCCAACTCTGAGCCTGAAGCTGTGTAGATGCTGCTGGCTTGGAGTTCTTTCACTCCCCTCGTCTGAGTCATATCCTGAGGCAGAGGGACCACAGGGGTACCTGGGCATTAGAGGCATGAAATTGGGGCAGAGAGCCTGACTCTATCCTTTGCTAGTAGTGTTACCACAATAGAGCCAATTTTATTTGCTCCCCAAACAAACCTACAAGACAAGCACTATTGCCTAGCCCTCTAGACAAACAATTGTGTGTGGGGGGGGGGGCTCCTGGTGATGAGAGAATTGGGTACCCTTTCTAGGACCAAATGCCCCCCAAGCCTTCCCAACACCCCATGGCAACCTCTTTGCTTCTGATTCTCTGAACTCCCCTTCCAGTTCAGATGTCTTCCTGGACTCTGACCTCCCCCTGTCCAGAGAGACATCTTCAGCCTGCCATGATGCCCAAGCCTGAGAATGCCATTCACTTGATGGAAGCGCTCCTGAACTTCCCACAGGCAGTAACTCAAGTGGAATCATTTCCCCAGGGTTTCTTCTGCCCCTGTGCTCCCTGTCACAGGGAACAACTTTCTGTCCAGGTACCCAACATCATTGACTCATCCCCTTACTCCAGGTCCACTCCACAACCAAGTCACAGGCATTCCACATGCAAAAATATGCCTAACCCTTCCGGTTCCACTGCCCTCCCCCACACCCTGGTAGTCACCTTCAACACCTGTGCTCTTGCTGTCTCTTTTCCTCGACTGCCTGTTGGGAATCTTTGTCATCAGCAGTCTTTCCATTTCTGAGTTTTAGCCCAACTCGACTGCTTTTGGTTCTGGAATCCATGACCTTCTTGACTCTAGCTACACCATTTCCTGTCTAAATCTCTCCCTTTCCCAATGCCAACATCCTTCAAGGCCCAACGGTGAAAGCATCCCTACAGCATCCCCCCAGCCCCTCCATTCATTACAGCCTTGATCATCTAGTGTCACTTTACCCATCCAGCACCCAGGAGCCTCCAAATGTCCCAAGGCAGAGACAATGTGCTACTCTTGGTACAAGAGCTGGCTTTGAATGGGTGCTCACTATCTTCCTTCCAGACAAATGACCCAGGGCAGGATCTGGCTAGTTCACACCTTCTCTCGTTTCCCTGAGGTGGAAACTAGATGCTTTAGCACAGACTAGGAAAACAAGGCTACAGAGGGTGAGCTGTGCTTGGGACAGTTAATCACTGACAACTTGATTGGAATTAAAATCAACAAGGAGACACACCCAGAGGCATGTATATGAGGTTGTTTCCAAAGGAGTTTGACTGAGAAAGGAAGATCCACCCTGAATGTGGGCAGCACTGTCCTCATGAGCTGGGATCCCAAACTGAATAAAAAAGAGGAAGCCCTTAAGATGGCTCAGTGGGTAGAGGGGCTGCCACCAATACTGATGACTGGAATTTGATCCCCAGGACCTATGTGGTGGAAGGAGAGCCACCTCCAGAAAGTTGTTCTCTGACCTCCACATGTGTACTGGGGTGTGTGGGCGCTTGTGTAAAAAAGGAAAGTTTGACTTGGGCACCAGCATTCCTCTGGCTGCATCTGATTCTTGGTACTGTGACCAGCAGCCATGCTTTCCCTGCTATGATGGACTTCACCTTTAAAGTGTGAGCCCCAGTAAACCCTTCCTTCTTCCCTCCCATCTGTTAGTTTTGTCAGGGACTTTGTAACTAACACAGTGCCCAAGGTGACAGCTGTTAAAGGAAGGGAACTGGATGAATTCCTACAGATGTCTGTGTTTCCAGGCTTCTCTGTGTGTGTGTGGGTGGGTGGTTTGTTTTTTTTTTTTTTTTAAAAAAAAAAAAAAAAAAACAAGTCCTTACCTTTCAAAATTTATTTTCCCCCTCTGACCTTGTGTTCTCATCTGTGTAATGGGAATAAAACTCATGCTAACACAAGGCTGGCATTTGCAGCTTTTCAGTAAACACCTGTGCCACCCTCCCAACCCCCTAGTAGGGCTTGATTCAGGAATTTCTCCAGGAAGGAAAATTTCTGCTTGCACGTGTTCACAAAAAAAAAAAGAAAGAAAGAAAGAAAGAAAGAAAGCAGGTGCAGAGCCCCACAAAAACTATTTCCAACATCAGGAACTCAGTAGGCGCATAACCAATGTGCAGCTGAGCAGATCTCCAGTCGCAACAGCCACAGCCAAGAGGGACCCTGGCATCGCCCCCTAAAAATCCCTTTCATCACCACTACCCCCTCCTCCTAACCCAAGGCGCGGGAAATATTTAAAACAATTTTATTCATGAAAATATGCTGTACAATGCACTCTACACGGCCTCGACACGGCACACACGCACACGCACACGCTGACGGCACGGCCACAGTACACTGCCTACGATACGCGCCGGGGGCACCGCGCCCACCGCCCGCCCCGACCGGACACTTATAAATATGGGAGAGAGGGGCCAGGACTGGCACAGAGAAAGGGGTGTTGGATTGGGGGCTGGATCCAGAACCGAGGCCCGCTGGAGAGGCTGTGACCAGTACTGCAGGAGTGTGGGGTTGACTGACAGGAGAGAGGAGATGCCAGGACTGTCAAAGATGGGAGACACTGAACCAGAGGGTAGCTGAGGACCGGAGGACTGAGCAGAAAATGGATGACCAAGATAGGTGTGAACGAGAGGGTTGCTGGCTTCGTGTGGTGGTTCTATGGCCAGTGAGGGAAAGAAAGTATCCTTTGAGAATCGGATTGGCGCTGGGTGGGCCATGTGTCACATTACTGCAAACAGCCCAGCATTAGGAACTGAAGATTCAGAAACGCCCCTGCCCCACTTCCTAGGTACTTTCCAGCATCAGCATCAGCATCCACAGAGGGCCATCGGCCTTGCTCTTCCCCACTGCCACCTAGCTGGACCTCAACTAGCTCCCCCAGGCTTCCAGCCCCAGCAGGAAGCCTTAGGAGTTCGAACAGGAGTGACAGGTGTCCCAGCCGCTCCCTCCAACCTCCCTCTGCGCTCAGCTCTGAGGAGATGTCTCCAGCTGGGCTGGGATTGCCTCCTGGTTCCTCCCATGGAGCTGGGTCGGGGGAGTGGGGACCCGGGGATCGGGATGGGAAGACAGAGGCCCCTTGGGGACGGGACCGGGGCACCCAGGCTGTGCAGGGCGGCCCTCAGCCCGGCACCCAACTCTGGTTAGGGGGCGGCGCCCCGGCCAGGCCCGGGGGAGGTGGAGGCAGGGCTGAGTCGAAATTGAAGTCCATTTCGTCGCTGTCCATGAAGTCGTTGAGGATGATGGACTCGACGTCACACTCGAGGCTTCCGCTGAACATGTCGAGGTCCAGGTCGGCCGGG